CTGCAACGTAGCCTTGAACATCCTCGCGCAATTTATCAAGCTCCACCTTGAACTGATCGATCATCTCACCGTCTTGAGTGATCTCTCTCGGCTGGTTTGATGAGCCTTGGATTTCTGTACGAAGACTATCGAGCCCTTCCCGAAGTGCTGTCAGAACTTGCTCTGTGTCCTTGCCGCTGGTAGAAGAGTATCCTTCAAACTCAGTATGCATCTCCTCTACCATTGACTGTAGACGCTGCATGACAGACTCGTTATGAGCTTCCGTTGCTGCCTTGACAGCATCCGTGATGCTCTCCGGGGGTATTTCGATTTCTAGGCCGGCAGAGTTGTGTTCGGTAAGAGCTTGGCGGATAACCTCTTCAAGCATCTCTCGAGAGATACTCTCGGCTGGTGTTGGCTGCTGGGCAGTAAGGGCTGGCTTCAACTCCTCCAAGGATTCTCGCACGGCCATGAGAACTTCCTCGCGGATTTCATGGACTTCATTGATCGGAGGTGGAAGTTGAATCTGTTGGAGGGAGTCGTGCAGCAATTTCTCAATCTCCTCCTTGGTAACCGCTCCGGAGCCGTTGAAATCTTGCAGTCCTTCACGCAGACACTGTAGTACCTCGTCCCTGCCCAAGCCGACTTGTTGAATTTCACGATTGGCATTCATCTCGACGCCATCGAAGGCCTCTCGCACGGCACTGATGAGAGCTTCCTTGTCGAGAGTAGCTGAGTGGGCAGATGGCTGGTCTAGGCCTCGCTCCGCGAGTGCTTGCTTGACGACATCGTACACCTCGTTATTGTCGACGGTGTTGCGTGTTACGACTGATGACATAGATTGTCGTCTTCGCTCACGCATGACCTTGTCCATGTGCTCCTTGAGGTTTGCGAGACCCTCTTGGACGATAGTGTTGATCTGCTCATTTGGCTGACTTGACTCTGGATCTGACTCCACAGCTCTAGCCTGCTCCGCCTCTTCCAGCTTGCGTGCAAGTTCGCGGCCCATGCCTAGCACTTCACCGCGAAGATCTTGAATCATTGACTTGGTCGCCATGGTGACACAGCCAGACTCTGCGACGCTGTCCTTGATCTTACGCAGAAACTTGAGCATCTCCTCGCTTACAAAGTCAGCAGCCTTGGGGCTAGAGTAGACCTTGCTGTCAGCCGAGATTGTGCGAGTGAGCGCACCAGATCCTGGCGAAGGTTGGAAACTTGCAGATCCAGGAGCAGCGCCGCCCAACGAGCCTTGCTTGACGAACTCCACTAGCTCAGCAACCTTCTGGGCAGTCTCTCCAGTAGCCTTGTCAACCAGCTTCTGAAGATTTGTTACAAGCCGTTCCTGACCATCTTTGGTTACCATCTCGCGAATGATCTTTTCCAGCATGGCGACACTAGCGGCACCCTCGACAGAGTATGGGTTGGGGCTTCCGATGCGCTCGTCAGCCCAGGGGCTACTTGACGCCATCCTCGGAAAGGTGAACTGCTTCGTGGGCGTCATGTGGGGATCCTGGAGGTTGAGGCTGCTAGACCGAGAGGTATCTCCATGCATAGCAGCAGTAGCTGCTTCTTGCTGCTTCTGCGACATGGTTGCCAGAAGGTCCTTGAGCGACTTTCGAATATCCTCATCCCGGAGGTTTGTCGCCTCCTTCAAGCTGATGAGGTCAGTCGCGTTGTCCTTGCTCCTTCGACTGAGTTGCGACATATCCTTCTGGAGGCTGGAAACAATGTTGTTGATGCTGACAAGTTGACTAGCGATGTTGTCGAATGAGTGAGGGGGAAGTGATCCCTGGATGGGTGTTGCCGCTGACGCTGATGCTGGCGCTGGCGCTGACACTGGCGTAGATATCGGGGTAGTTGCCGCAGCTGGTGGTGGAGAGCGTGGCGAGCGTGGCGAGCTGTTGAAGTTGGCCGATGGTGGCGGGTCCAGCATATGTTGGGGGATAGACATTGTCTGGAGGGCCATCATCGTAGCAGAAGGAGGCGTGTTCTCGCCTAGGAACGGCCGGTGGGTGGGCCTCAGAGCTGGTGTGTCCTTGATCTCGAACCGTGGCGCTGGCGAAGGCGTGACATGTCGGGTAGGACTGGGATCGGCATCTTTGCCAAAGTAGTCCTTGTCCCAGTCGCGCGAGATTGGCCTGCCTCCTCTACTTGACGGCCGGTCGCGCTCTGGGGACCGCTCTGGCGACCGGTTGTCTAAGTAGCTGCGCAGGTCACGAACACTGCCTGGCTGGAGCGATTGCATACGCTTGTGCTGATTACCTTTAATTAGAGCACGCTCTGGAGAGAGCGATTTGAGTGGCATAGGGTTAGTAGTGTATGAGCTTGCGGGTAAGCTCTCTCGCGCCTTCTCTTCTAGCGCTTTGGCCGCCTGCATGATGGCTGCTGATGTGTTAGGGCGGGTGGTGAGATTTGGTGAACCCGGGTTCAATGGCAATGGCGGAGGTGCCCGTTCAGGGTCAGCACTGTCCCACCTAGAGCACAGTGTTAGCAGTGAAATGTAGCGGTGTGCATTGGTATGGAAGAAAATGAGAAGACGAACATGGGAATCATTCTGTCGGACGAGAAAGAATGTGAGTGCCGGACGAGCTCCCTGTCGCGGGAGGGTTCTCTGTCGGAGGAAGGCATTGTGGTATGTGGTGTGGTGGATATTTAAGTCCCGGAGGTGGTATGGGAATGCACAGCAGGTACAAGGCCGGCTGATCGCAGAGGTTTGTTTTTTTGGAGAAAACAGGTCAGGGTATCAATCGCGAATGGCTTCAGCGATCCAGCGCAGGGTAGAATATGCAACGCAATGGTTCGTGAGATGTGGAGGGCGGGTGGTGGGAGACTGGAGTGCAGGTTCAGTGCGAGAACAGTGTTGATCTAGGTTGGGGTTTGTTTACGTGCACTGGCCAATAGGCGATGACGATGGCGGCGCGACCTGCCAGCTCAGCCGTCGCTGGGGCAGCACTGGCGCGAACAAGACGGCTCCAATGGATATGGTACGCCCATTGGATGCACACCGCCGTTGCGAGTCGGCGGTGGATTGCAGCTCAACAGGCGACATGCATGTCATGTGCAGTGCATTGCGAGCAGTCGTCGTGCACAACCACCTCGCCTGTTACCTGGGGGAGGGCCTTGCATGCCGTTGTCGATAAGGCGCTCGTTGCCATGCGCTTTGTGGCGCAGGTGGCTCCTCCACGCCGTTCCCGCCCCGTCACTTGTCGGCGTTATGTATCGCCGATCCTGTCTCCGCCGCCGCATCTCCAGGTAAGCTACCAGCAGTTGATCATCACCGACCGCCAGCTCCATCTCCGCCACACAATTCCCCGTCCCCTCCCGGCAAACTGCTTGCACGGACTACCCAACCACCTTTCATATACCCTCCGCCATCGATCGAGTAGTCATGGCTGTCCCCGAAACTACATCGCGGGTGGCAGAGGCGCAGAAGCTGGCCAAGTCGGATCCCTCCAAGGCCGAGCAGATATACAAAGACGTCCTCTCACAAAACCCCGGTTCCAATGAGGCTGTCATCAAGAACTACGAGACCGCCCTGGTCGGTCTCGGCGAGCTTTACCGCGACCAGAAGAAGGTGGATGCTCTGGCGGAACTGGTAAAGCAGGCGCGATCCGTCATGTCGTCGTTTGCGAAAGCAAAGACATCCAAACTGGGTATGTATTCATCTTAATACGCTGGCCCGGGGGCCAATGACTAACACAGCACAGTCCGACAGCTTCTCGACCTCTTCACCACCATACCAAACACCACCGACATCCAGATCGCCGTCACCAAGTCATGCATAGAGTGGGCCGTCTCAGAGCGGAGAGGCTTCCTACGGCAAAACCTCGAGACTCGACTTGTCGCCTTGTACATGCAGAAGCAGTCCTACTACGATGCCCTGACGCTCATCAACAGTCTGCTCAAGGAGCTGAAGCGCCTAGACGACAAGCTGGTCTTGGTCGAGGTGCAGCTGTTAGAATCGCGTGTCTACCATGCATTGGGCAACATTCCCAAGGGCCGTGCTGCTCTCACATCCGCCCGAACGTCGGCCGCCTCAGTCTACACCCCACCTCTGCTGCAGGCCGGACTGGACATGCAAAGTGGCATGCTACATGCTGAGGACGGCGACTTCAACACAGCCTTCTCCTACTTCATCGAAGCAATGGAGGGGTACCACTCACAGGACGAGGACCAAAAGGCAACATCAGCACTGCAGTATATGCTGCTCTGCAAGATCATGCTCAACCTCGGAGACGACGTGACATCGCTCATGACCTCGAAGCACGCCGTCAAGTATGCCGGTAAGCGGTTAGAGGCCATGAAGGCCGTAGCCCGAGCACACACGAACCGCAGTCTAGAGGAGTACGAGACCGCCTTGACCGACTACCGCCAACAGCTTGGCAGCGATCGATTCATCACATCCCATCTTCGCCGCCTGTATGACAACATGTTGGAGCAGAACCTTATCAAGGTCATTGAGCCCTTTAGCCGGGTCGAAATCGACCACGTCGCCAAAATGGTCGGACTAGACACGATACAGGTGGAACGAAAGCTCTCCCAAATGATCCTTGATAAGGTCATTATTGGAGTGCTGGACCAGGGTGCCGGATGTCTTATCGTCTACGATGAGTCAGAGCGCGATCAGGGATACGATGCTGCCCTCGCTACTCTTGAGAAGCTGAGTAACGTTGTTGACGTGCTGTACACCAACCAGGCCTCTCTTTTGGAGTAGAATGTCGCCTGCAAGAGGCGGAAGCGCCAGATGCAATCAAGCTATGTAAAATAGAAGCATAGAAGCTCAAGCGTGCTCAGCATTCAATGTGGCTAACTATTAATGACAAAACATGATTTGAACAATACCACTGTGACCCTATTACAGCAGACGTTATCTTGCAGACGTATAGCACCCGACTCCACATCAATCATACCATTCCTTAACGCCTCCATGTCTAATCCCCACACTTAACCAACCGTATTGCAAGACCCATCTATCTATCCAGAATCAAAATAAGAAACACAAAAGAAAGAAAAAACGAAGATTAATTCCCCCCATGCAACTCCTTATCCCTCCTCGCACTCGCATTCACAATCACAACTCCAAGTACCATCCCGCACATGAACAGCGTAATAAACGTCACTGCAACCATCGTACAGCAATACCTCTCACTCTCCCTCTTCTGCCTCGCAGCAGTATGAACCTGCTCGTCGCACGCCGCGCAGTGCTTGTGCAGCGTGTCTGACTGTGGGAGAAGCAGTTTAGTTATTGTTTGGGCAAAGGTTTCCGGCTGTTGCTGGGGAGGCTGGGATGTAGTAGTGTGGGCGTGGGCGTGGTTTTCGATGTCTAGGGTTTCACCGGTAAAGGGGGGTTGCTCGGCGTCGTCAGATTGGGGGATGGTGGTGTACTATGAGTGTGTTGGTTAGGATTTTGAACTGTTTTTTGGGGTTGTGGTTGATAGAGATGGGTGTTGGGGAAGAAGGGAGAGAACGTACGCCGGAGAGAGAGCCAGATGGCATGTAGCGGTTTACGGGGTGGTTGTTGATTACATCGTCGTATGCTGGAGCAGCTTCTGTGGGTGTTGTTGGGGTGCCCATCGTTGTTATCTTGCAAGTTGTGATTTGGGTTGGTATTTAGGATTGATATTGGAAATGTTTTAGTTTGTCTGCAAGTACACTGTTCTTGTCAGGATACATGTTGCAACAGCCATACTCTTTATACATCTGTGATATCACTGCACCTCTTGCCGGTCAAACGGCTGGTCATGGTGTTGGATGCCTGATGATTGCACAGCCTCTGCACGCCTCAGCCCGCCTCGTCACGCTGTGCCGTAGGACCAACCATCCTCATGGGATAGTACAACCAGGATCATTAAAGCCACAGCTATGCACCTGTCATGCTGGTAGGATTTGCCAGTTATGGACTTAGTGAGAGATACACAGTAACAGCCTACTGCCTGGGCCGTGGTGTCAACCAATCGTGACGTTGGATGGCTGAATTGGTGGCGCATGCATGATCTTGGCCACCCATACCACTCAATATGGTTAAGAAGGGATTTTCATGTACTTTCCGTGGACACGACCAACATTGTACAGCCCATGAAGAGGTTTAATAGACTACATGCCAAAACCTTGCCGCATGACTTGGTAAAAGAGCACAGAGTTACTACGCTAGTAGATAGGTAACCTCTACTATAACAAATAATAGTAGTATAATCGTAGTTATATAGGCTTTTGGAAGAACCTCTCTATCAAGACATCCGATAATTCGGAAAATTCATTTCTTAACATTACCCTTCGAGTTAAAAATCAATAGCAAAGTTGGGTGAAGCTCAGTCTTTTCTGCAGGATACTATACTCGCGAAAGGCCAGAAATGCACTCATTGCCGCTCTGCCCCTCGTAGCATGACCAAAATTCTCGGCACACAAGAAGATAACGATGCTTTAATATATTCATTGTCTCATTATCGTAAAACGATCAACAGTAACAAACGACGACTCGGTATACCAAACGTCATCCAGCCCACTTATGCACAGAGTTTCGCATCCAGGCATAAGTACCCGGTATCTCTTAGATGTTAACGCCGTCCCCAACGCTGCGACGACATCCACCATCTCTTGAGAACTCGTTACCGTTCGCGTCCGAATTAGTACTTAATATCTCTTGGGGGCGAGATAGAAGCACTACGGTACTTGATGTCTCTTGGGGGTGAAATGGAAGCGCTGCGGTACTTGATATCTCTTGGGGGCGAGATGGAAGCGCTGGCGTCCGCTTCCGCCTCAGCACTACGGTACTTAATGTCTCTTGGGGGCGAGATAGAAGCGCTGGCATCCGCCTCAGCACTGCGGTACTTAATGTCTCTTGGGGGCGAGATAGAAGCGCTGGCATCCGCCTCAGCACTGCGGTACTTGAGATCTCTGGGGGGCTCATTTCCATTCGCCTTGGGAAGTGCATCTATGTCTCTGTGAGTATGAATCAATCGCCCGTGAACCTCAACATACTTGGAAGCGCAGCAGCGCAAGCTGCGAGAGCTGCGACGACAAATGAGGTTCTCATTTTTTCGGTAGGAAATTGGAGGATTTGGATTGTTCTGCAAAGCGTTGTTGTGGAAGCAGATGGACTGACGATGGGCTGAAGGCAGGTATAGGTATATATACTACCGGCGCACGCCGGTTCTGCTCTTTGACAAGCGGTTGGCAATCCAGCAATTGGATGTGACACTGCCTGGGATCAGCACTGCGATCTATACTCCATCAGGAGGTAAAGTACCACATGGCTGTACCATTCCATACTTTCCCCAGCATAGACCCCTGACTGGGTTTAGACTCCAGGACAAACAAGACGTCATACACAACTGATGCGCGATATACTGTGCTACAAGGCCAAAGCTTTGTGTGGGGGAGCGCTAAAATAATGATAGGCTCTTCTTCGGATGACTCTGTACCGAACTTTTTGCAGAGAAATACTACGATGTTGGTGATAATTACGATAGCTCATGCTCTTTACAGTATAGCTCTTACTCTCTACCCTAGCCTGTATCGTCCCCTTGCTAGTAGCCCACACAAAAAGCTTTGGCCTTGTAGCACAGTACGTGATGAAGAGACATTGCAATCTTATAAGACGAGATCCGGATAGCTGGTGAAAAGCTGATCACGTGATGCGACTGGTCCAGTAGACCCATCAGAACCATCACTGAATCCACCAAAACTATCATATTTGATAGATCACGTGACCAAAAACGCGGACGTGGAATTTATCTGGAAATCTTCAAATCGCGTTTTGTCCTGTCACAATAGCGCGAAAAATAGGGGTGAAGTAAGCACTAGTTAGGACTTTCTTGCTTATCGCTACGCTAACAATGCGTGGCAAGGCTTGATAGCCTTCACACCCTTGAAATCATGCGGTTTTACTGCATTGTACGATATAACAGAGATTTTGAGAGCATTCTAAAACACAGCCCTATATCAGTTAAGTAAAACGCAAAAACGCTAAACCGAATAGGCCCTAAATTGCATGCACTAGTGCAAAACTAAGCGATTGTTGCGATATCTGTTTTATCTCCTGCCTTTTCTGTACCTCTTTTCTCCTCACATGATCCACTCACGAATCATGGGAAGTTTCCTCTAGCACTGGGCTCCAGGTCCCTCAAGTTCGCCGTACCAGAGGACGACACTACTACACTAGTAATATCTCGCTTTCTGTTCCATCCCCTTGACGTTTCTTTTTTTTCCCTTCAGCAAGAATCTGATTGCGCGAAATTTTTAGACATTTGTCGTATCTAGAAAGGATGCTACGACGATACATGTAGTGGATTCACGGCATAGTTCAAACAGCTGCTGAACAAGCCTCGATCGACATTGGCGGGATTTCTTAGCCTGCCTCGTATTGCTGATGAAGTCCCTTACTGACGTGGCCCATGCTCCGGAGTAGGGAACAGAAGAAGCCTAGGCAGTTCAAAGAGGGTCCTCCATATAGAGCAAAGGTCATTGGCTACCCCAATAAGCATTAAACGCCCTCTCCAATAAGACTGGGGTCTGCTGTAGTGCGGCACTATCTCTACTTGATAAACATAATTCATATTATCAGTTTCAATACTATCTACAGCTGGAATTTAGTCTTCCTTCTTTTTTTTCCTGTTTTGTTTCTTAAGATGAAAGTTATACAAAAAACATAGTGGAAAAAAGAAAGAACAAAAGGAGAGTAAGAAGAAAAAGAGAGGTAATTGGACAGAAAGTGACGAAGAAAGAAGTAGAGAGAGACGCGTTTTCTCTCTTTTTTTTACATTATAAATACAAGATACGATAGATAAAGTTAGACTCGACGCTAAGCAAACGTATCCTGGTTATTGGAAGGACATTCACCGCTTATAGTGATGGTTGATAACCTGTGCATATGCCATCATCGTATACATCCATACATATCTAGGAATGTGACAGGGTTGTCGCAAGAGTTGACGTCAACCTGCCTGCCACTGACTCGGTACTGTGAGACCGGACCGAAGTCTACGGGTTATACGTATACAGTAAATCGCTCGTGCATAACGCGACTCAAGTCTGAAAATCACGCGGCAGAACTGCGGATCGATAGTCCACTTCGGTATCAGTTGCAATGTCAACGCTAGACGTTACACTATTGGGTCAAGAATGCCCGGAGTGCTGGAGTCTTCGGAATTGTGCTCAACTTGCAACTTTCACTGCTGGTCATCGAGCAACCACTGTCGCGGCTTTCAAACAGTGTAAAGAAACGAAAGATGGCGAGAGGCTATGAATCCCCTTCTGTGTCGGACTTGGAAGAGTCCGCCCCTTTTATTGACCAAGAACGACTTGAGAAGATACGTGCAAGTAAAGCCCCGAGGTCTGCCTGGGGCTGGATATGCCTCATCGCGCGAAATGTATGGCGTTACCTATTAGTGGCAATTCTCTCAAGTCTTGTCACAATGGCAGTTTTACGAAGCCATGGCTTGTTGCACATCGAAAAGAGCCCATCTTGCGAAGACATGGATTACATTCGTAAGTATTGTTCTTCTGGCAGACTTTCATCCACTTCCACCGTCCGTAGAACTGACATTTCTTCAGGCGACTATGCACCAATTCGAGACCTAGACCGGTCGTTCCATGTCGAAACGTTCTCGCCATTCAATTACAGCACAAGCGAATATACCATACACCCCAGCGAAGGCAACGTCAGTGACAAGTGGATGGCCCTTGGCCAAGATTGTAAGTCAGCCAGTACTCCATAATATTTGATCTGAAGTACTGATTCTTGTCCTCGCAGCGGGTCATTTCTTGATTCCAGTTTCCGAGGGTCACAAATATGACCTCGACATAAAACGTCATGTCACAGTTCCAGAGGGTGTGGCCGAACAGGAGTCCTTTCTGGTCTCGCTAGATGTCATGCATCATATCCACTGTCTTGTAGGTCACCCAAGCCAGCCTGGAGTAAGCTACTCGGAAAGCTAATGCGACATTTAGGACACACTACGCGAGAACCTCTGGTACAACCGCGACTGGTACTCCACCCATCAAGAGCAACATCCCAAGCTCTCAGTTCACAAGGCCCACACAAGTAAGTCTTTAGCTGGTTATGTCGTCTTCAAGCTCGATCCAGACCACTAACGGGCATTCTAGACCACTGCCTTGACGCTCTCCGAGCACGGCTGATGTGCCTCTCGGACGTAACATTCCTGCCGATGGTATACATCGACAGAGAAGGCTGGACACTACCAGACTTTGAGAGACGCCACAAGTGCCACAACTTTGACGCAACCCGGGAGTGGGCGTACAAGCACAGATTGTCCGATACTGCTGCCAATTACAAAAAAGTAGCTGGGCCGGAGAAGATCCTTACTACTTTCCCTGGATTCTACGACATTTACCCAGAGCTTAACAATACAGATCATAAGGATCCAGGCCATGAGCATTCAGAGAATGAGGGGCATGTTCATTGATTGTATTGCTGAGATGCGGTATTCCAGGGCTCTGGAGGTTCTTTCCGAGCTCCTTTTCTTATGATATCACGCTTGAAGTTTGACATGAATGAGCTGGAAAGCAGATGAGAAGCCTTCAGGGTCGTCCAAGAGCCACAATGTGGTTGGAAGATTGCAAGGCGTATCCGTCTGTTTGCCCTTTATGCAGGTTGAGCTCTTCCTAGTACCACCGCTCCCGTGCTGTGCTCGGCAAGTAAGCCTTGCCGCGCAAAAACGGGATACCTCTTGTATATTAGACACTTACCAGCATTGGTGTATGCTAGGGACTAGATGTATATCAGAATTAATGATCCCCATTTCTATACGGAGTGAGAAACTTCGGTATTGTTTGGCGTTTGTTGCTCGCATTTCCACCTAGCTCACACCGAATTTCCTTGCTAGGAGGAGGTGCGATCACTGCATCATTCATCATTGCCTTGAGCATGTCTCTTCAGATAGTCTCTCCTATATGTCGTGACAGAAGAAGGACATGGTATTTCCTAATGTAGCCAGCAGCGAAACAATGGATGTCCTCCTCGCGAACGAGTCTTTCCACCTTTTCTCAACCACCAGCCTTGCTTACTTTTGGAGGATACTTTGAACTGCGATCAATACCCTTGAAGAGTTCTCGCAGTCCCTTTGAGTACTCCGTTTCCTGAGGATTGCTCTTGGAACCCTTTATTGTATTTTCTTCCAGCAGAACTGGACGGCATCATGCTGCATCGCGCGTCGATGTATTACAGACCCAGTACTCTACAGCACACACTATATGCCCAGCAAGTATTCCAAAATTGCCTTGATAGATTGAGCAAGGCATATTTGCAGACTCGTGCGCAAGAGGTGAGTCGACTGCCGAGGTTGGTGTTGGTGTGGTGTTGTTGTGGCACATCCTGTCGGGAGGAGGTTTTCACAAGCGAGAGCCTTCCCCAAGCTAGCTCGGCAAGTATCCACTGGAGCTCTGGCCTCATCCGAACGTCAACGCTTTCAAATGACGTCGCTAACTGGTGACACGGCCAACGCCATGCGGACTCGTTTCCGCAAGAGGGCTACTGATTTCCCCGCGTTTTATGGTGCTTAATTACTGCTCTCGCATCATTTTGTCAAATCCTGCTTCTCTATAGTCAACATGGCAGACAATAGCCCAGACAAGATAAACTTCATCTACAACTCGCAGCTGGTAAGCGCGTCTAGCCTGCACAGTGTCGCGCATGAACTAATGCCGGGCCCTAGGATGCATTCACGCTCTACCACGTGTCGCAAGAAAACAGTACCCACAACGCCATCGGCCCTGCACTGCCAGCTCTCGGTCATGCCACCTCTGGCGCTCTAGGATCCGCGATATCGAAACTCATAACATATCCTGTGGATTTGGTTGTAACACGTCTTCAAGTCCAACGGCAGCTGCAGCATGGCAAGAAGCATCCCCACTACGATGGTGTGGTCGATGCCTTTCTCAAGGTGTACGAAAGAGAGGGTGGCTTGAAGGCTTTCTACAGTGGCTGTGCCCATGAAACATTCAAGGGTGTCGTGGACAGCTTTCTGTTCTTTCTAGCGTACTCATATGTGCGCGAAAAGAGACTCAGTGCGCGAGGCAGCAGCCATAACCTGCCAGCCTTGGAGGAGATTGGCGTTGGCGTAATCGCAGGCGCATTCTCCAAGCTGATCAGCACACCTCTTCAGCAAGTCGTGACACGCAAGCAGACGGCCGCCATGATGAACCAGGGCTCTACGATCGACCCGCCTCCTCCGCTGAGCACCAAGGATATTACATCTGAAATCTGGCGTGAGAAGGGCATACAGGGCTTTTGGTCAGGATACTCAGCCAGCCTGATCCTAACGCTAAATCCTTCTATCACAATGCTGCTACACAAGGCTCTGCTGCGATTGGTAGTACCGAGGGCGAAGCGCAGCGATCCGGGTGGACGTCTAACCTTCCTCCTTGCCGCGATTAGCAAGGCCTTGGCCTCGACCGTGACGTATCCATTCAGTCTCGCAAAGGCACGAGCACAGGTGTCTGCACAGAAGCCTCTATCAGGCAGTGGGGAAACTTCAGATCGAGAGAAGTCTGAGGAGCCTGTCAAATCAAGGGCTCTACAGGCCAGACAGCGAACTGTGTTCAGTACCATTTTGCGGATCGCACAGACCGAAGGCATACGAGCTCTGTACGAAGGCTTGGGCGGTGAAGTGCTCAAAGGCTTCTTCTCGCACGGCATCACGATGCTGATGAAGGACCATATTCATTCAGTCATCATTAGCCTATATTTCACACTGCAAAAGGCTCTGCGCAAGTACCCTGGTCCGGAAGAAATCGCAAAGTCTGCCTCGGAGGGTGTGCAAGACATGTATGTCCATAGCAAGGATAAGGGGATTGAGGCTGCTGAAAATGTGACTAAATCGGCCAAGGATATCGTAGAGAAGGGTAAGGAGCAAGTTGCAGGCGTCTATTCGAAAGGCGCAGAAGTTGCAGAGACAGCATCTCGAACGGCTCGCGATGCTCTCGAGAGTGGTTCGCAACACGTTGAAGATGTCGCAAAAACTGTAAGGGATGGAGTGGGTGACGCGTCACAACAGGCGGCAGATGGCATTACAGATAGCAGGGTCAAGGACATTGACGGTACCGACAAAGACATGGCCAAGTGAGTCACAAAGCGAGTGGCGGTCACGAGCCCGTATACACACCCGGAGTGTTTTATTTTTATCTTAGCATCCACGGTCGGACTTTGGCGGAGAAGGAGTTGGTCCCCTAGGGTTGAGTCGAGTTGAAGGTTTTGTACTTAGCAATCTTGTAATAGCAATGCGGGTGGAAGGATTAATTAAGTCATGCGCAACCTGAAACCGTGGGCATGTTGCCGCCATGCGGGATTTGAATTTTGACGAGAATATCTTGCTTTTTTTGGTGAGGCAAGCCCCAGCCACCCCTTGATACAAGGGAGTCTTGTCGAGCATCTCAACGGTTGCCGTCCGTCTGGCTGTGATGACGGAGTCTGGCCACTGTGTTGTCGCTTGATGCGTTGTCGATGTGGGGATGTGTGGCCGCGGTAGGCTGCATGTGTCATACCCAGTGGGTGGCTGGTCGTTCCTGCCCGCGGTTGCCCTGGGGAGGCCAGTGCGCTAACCATCGGGCTCCGCGCCCGCAGCGCAACCATCAACAACCCACCGCTGGAGACGCACAACACTGCACGCCGCCGTCCAGCGGCCTACTAACCACTAACCATACACAGGCACAGGTCAAAAATTACAACGCCCGCACAGCCAACGTCAAGCGCCACGCTGCCCGCCTCAACAGACTGCGGCGCATGACCGGCGACATCACACCGTGCTCGACAAAAGCGGCATCCTCCATTTCCGGCAACAAAGACACAAACAACACTCGCGCATACCCAAAGCTGCAGGTCTCCTCTATGCCGTGAGCGCCCGTGGATGCACACACCAGTACTCACTCATCTATATCTCGCCGCATCGCCGTCGCCCCCCCCGCCTAACACATTCCCCTGAGCTTGGGTTGCGGTCCACCGCCACGTCCCAGCAGCCACTATGGGAGTCGTCGACAAGCCCTTCTCCTCTCCGGCCGCGCAGAGAAGAGCGTGGAAGAGCGTGGAAGAGGAACTAACCTACTACAAGACGCAATATGAGACGCTAGAAAATGAGCTGCAGGAGTTTCAGACTTCCAGCAAGGAACTGGAGGCCGAACTAGAACGCGACATCGAAGAGAGCGAAAAGCGCGAGAGGAAACTGCAGGAAAAGGCAGAGAAGCTGGTTTTTGAGGTCGAGGAGTGGAAGGTATGTGGTTTCGGGGGGACATAGCAGAGCGCATTTCCGTCATTTGGGCCCAATTGCTGACACCACTATAGACAAAGTACAAGCAAAGCAAAGCCGAAGCAAACAATGCGCAAAACACGCTGCAAAAGGAAATCACCGCTTTGCGCGAGGGCCAACGCGCGCTGCAAATGCGACTCCGAGACATTGAGGTACAGAGCGATGATTTCGAGCGCCAGGCACGCAACCAAACCTCATCGCTCGAAGATGTCGAATCCAAGTATAACGTGGCTATTGAACGAGGTGTGATGCTTGAAGAAGAAATCAAGATCGGAGAACAGGAGCGAGAGCAACTACGTATAGAAACACAGCGACTACGTGATGAACTGACCGACCTGCGCATCGAGACGGAAATCGTACAAGAAAAACTGCGTATAGCAGAAGAAACCATCGAACATCACCACCAGCGCAAGGTATCTAGCCACCTTGCCGGTGACGTTTTGCGCCCACGCTCACCAATTTCGGAGGCATCAACGTCTGCAACGACCCTTTCCTCGCCCACAGCCGGCTCGACCCCGCCACACTCGATAGCAGATGCCCTCCACCCAGACACGACCCCACCATCTCCACCGCTCTCAGACGCACCTATTACCACGAAACTCATCCCTTCGACGCCCATGTCCAGACGAAAGAATTCTGTTGTACCGCAGGACCCTGGAACTACACCTCGTGCCGGTATGTACTCACGGGCGCCACGACATTCGCGAGGGCCTAGTATGTCAGGATCATCACGACCACCAAGCTCAGCTGCCAGTGGGCGGGCCACGCCCTCCCTACGGCCGACTGTGACAGGGTCGCGAGAGACCAGACCAAGTCTTGGCGCGTCTACATCAGCGGGTTTTCCCAGGTCAGGCTCGCTCTATCAGATTCGGGGGCTGATAGGTAAGATGCAGAAGCTCGAAGAACGAGTTCAAACGGCACGATCCAAGCTTCCTGCGCCAACGAGTACGCCACCCCGAGCGAGCCCACGAGGCAGCAGCGGCTCAGGACACGTACCCAGCTCAGTTACGTTGAGGAGTGGTCGCAAGCGCAGCTCGCAAGCGTCAGTGGCGTCGTCAGTCCCCAGCGCCTACGAGTCTGGTGTCAGCCGCCTCTCCTTCGGTGTCTCCAACTCTTCGAAGGAGCCTCCGACCCCCCAACCCGACAGCCGAAACTCGTTCTCGCCACCGGCTGCGGCGATACCACGACCAGCGAGCAGGAGCAGCAACCGTACCGCACTCGGACACTACCAGTCGTCATCGATTAGCGGAATTGAATCACGAGTACCGAGACCACGAAGTTCGATGAGCGGCCATTCCAACGGGCACAGTTACTCGCAGTCGCTTTCCTCGTCTGTACGGGATGATGCAAGCACCAACAGTGATGGAAGTGGGGTGACGACGCCAATAATGGGTCGACGCTCCACACTGGAGAAGTCTGGGATCCCTGCACCCACGGGCATTCCCAGGCGGGCGAGCGCAGGACGACGAGCGAGTGCAGGCCAGGATGGGGGAGAAACGGGATTCCCATTACGACTGCGGAGGATGTCGACGCAGACTGAGGAAGAGTCTTATTAGGGCGGCACGGGTCAGGCGTTTGCAGCAAAAGACCAGGGGCTGCAGGGACTTGTGTGCATGTGCGTTTGGGCTTTTTTGTCGGTATATGATTTTGCGGCACTATACCTCTAGCGTTTCTGGAGTTTGGCACACGGGAAGGGGGGGAGGATGCAGGTACCGTTTATTTAGCTTGCACCGATTCGGATCAGACCTGGAGCTTTCCTCTCTCCCCCTCGTCAAAGGACGTGGGTTCTTTGCATTTTTGGGCAGCATTGGTCGTTCGAATTTAAGGAGGAAGCATTGCAGACGGTGTCGATAGCCACACAAGCCCTTTGGGGCATTTACATATTGCTTATACCAAATTTTCCTTTGTTCGAAATTCAAAATATACCCTTCTCTCCCTGGATGTTCGTTTCCTCTACCCCTTGTGCCTTGATTTTCCTGGTTACCTGGTACTTGGGTACGTGGAGAAGTTAAGAAAAGAGAGACATAGAAAGAGAGAAAGATAAAAAGACAGCACGAAAGCATACAGTCAAATTTGACTATTCCCTGTGCGTCCGCCTCCGCCTGCCGCCTCCGCCGCCGCCCACCCCCACGGTTACCCTGATCGCGGTCTAAAAAAAAAAAGCGCGCGCGGCTGAAGTGCTTGTGCAGACAAGGCCGTTGGGGTCGCAAATCTGGGGTAAAAAAGAGTGCGTTCTGTGCTGGTGTGTTCAAAGCGGGAAGAAAAATCGTACGATTCTGATGTCAAACCGAGCGGGAGTGGCCGCTTTTGCAGTGTGGCAGGCCCCAAACCACGCACGCACGCAAGCCGCAGGAAGGACCCTGGGATCTTCGGAAATGCACGTCGGAATCGCGTTTTCCCCCCTCCCCCCTTACTAGCTCGCATATCTTTTAAGCCTTACAGTGGGGTGGGTGGCTCTTTTTTAAAACCTGCAGCTTCGTTTCTGCATATAAAGTGTTTTGTTGTTCAAAGAAGAAATATTATTTTACTCTCCCGGTCAGTTTTTTTTTCGGTTTGATTGTGCCGGTCCCCGCAACGCGGCGACATAAGCAAAGCACATCATGTACATTTTTTTGTGCACACATGGGCATAAAAGACAGGAGAGATGGGGGGGTTAGCGGCGATGGTAGGCACCCACGCCAAGATTCCGCATGTACAGCCGCATCACGGGAGGAAAGGAAAGTATTCGGGCGTAATGTAAGACTTTGGGCCCTTTTTTTCCTCTCTCTTCCACCGTCTTTTGGTCTTTTTTGGTACACTACGGTGTAATCCGTTTATTTGAAGAAAAAGAGGCGTCATTCATTTGGGTTGATTTGAGCGTAGTGTGATATGCTCCGAGGAGGGGGGTGAGTGTCTGTCTCTCTCTTGATATGATCCGAGAAGGTGGTTGGGCGCGCTGATTGGGTGGCGTACGACGGAGTCCGATGGAAGAGACATACCGGAGGAGGAGACCCGAGCATCATCATTGAAACGACCAAAAGTAGTGACAGGGCAAGCTGCGGTCATGACAACGGACGGGGTCGGGTTTATTGAATTGTCTTGTTGTCTTAGTTTTCTAATGTATATTTTGGTCTGACGGCAATTGGCAAGTTGCTTAGGGGCAAAAAGTTTGCGGCGCGCCGGTGGGGAATGCGTGTTGGCTGGCGGTGAACAGAAAAGAGGGCGATCGGAGGAATGCGTGGGGAGGGGGGCAACATGGGCGACTTTGTTGAGCGGGAGGGGTAGGAGAGGACGGCAAAGGGGGCATTGAGACATCACGACTACGACTTGGCCGCAACTCAGGGACAGATTGCAAGTGGGGGCCAATGGAAGCGGGACGGGCAGCATCGCGATGCACCTAGAAAATGAGGTTGTTTTTTGCTGAGAGATAGTGAATGGGGGGGGGGAAGGTCGCGATCGGGTGGCCCTCTCGCTCGCAAGAACAAACTAATTCGGAACTGGCTCTCCCAACACGCCGATTACTGGCACCGCCATGGCGGCCAATGCCCACCCTCTTGTACTCCAACGCTTGGTTCTCTCGGGCCATGGGCCACTCTGCGGACATGGAGTTGCACAATGGAATCTTCTAGTGGCCCTTTTTGCCAGTGTCAGAGAGTTATGGAGTTTTTTTCTTCCGAGCGGAGTCGCGATAGCTTACACCAAGGAGTTCCGACCGAGTTCCGACGCCCACCATGTTACGGTGGCTTGGGAGCGATCGAGACATGGCCAGGGGCGGCATGGGGTACGTGGTCCAGGGCCCCCATCCCAGGTTTGGCATCGCTGGGTAATGTGCAGCTTCGGCTCAAGCTCAACAGCTCTTCGGGAAGTGCATTGGGGTGTTCCGCGACCCTCCTTGAGAGGAAAAAAATTAATACTTACACAAGTCCTCGCCCGGCTACTTTGCGACTGCTGTTGTTTCCCCTCTTCCTCAACTTTGCTTCCTCCCTCCTCCTTCTCTCTCTCTCTCACACAAGTCTCTCTCACCTCACTATACATATACACGCCCATATATATATACAAACTACGGTGCTGTATCTTGCCCTACAGCACTCTCTCCCTCACTGTCCAATCGTTGTTTGCAGGTGCTCTCCTCCCGGCGCCCGCATACATACACATTTGGACGCATTTAGTATCGGAAGATTGCTTTTGAGCGGCCTTCCCCTCCGATACTCCAGCTGTAATCTACTAACACTTCTGCTCGGGTCCTCCCACCGACAGAATTGCTACAACAGCAACTGCACACTTGTCCAAACAAGAGGGTGTGTGCATCCGGTTTTTTCTTGCAGACCAACCGACGTTGGGTCTCATTTGTAGATCTACGACACTAAAGGCCGAGCTCCAGCTTTGCCCATTACTCAGTCGAAAATTACCCGATCACTCGCCGACCTGAGTTCCCGACCAAACTTTCCCCTCCCAACTCCCTCCACATTCAACTAATTCCCTAGTTGCATGGGATTACCAGCAAACAATATGGCCGGAGCTGCTCAGAACGGAGTCAATGGGGATGCCAATGGCTCCCCGAGCTCCTACTCAGCCAAGTTCGATCTTGCTCCGCACTTTATCGGCGGCAACAACCTCAGCGTAGCCTCTCCCGGCAAAGTCAAGGACTTTGTGGCAGCGCACGATGGACACACAGTCATTACCAATGTAAGAGAAATCCTTTTCCCGGCAATTACATGTTTGTTTGGCGTTTCGGGCGCGCTGACTCGGGCTTTCTTCGCAGGTTCTCATTGCGAACAACGGTATCGCCGCCGTCAAAGAGATCCGCTCGGTGCGGAAATGGGCATACGAGACGTTTGGCGATGAGCGGGCAATTCAATTCACCGTCATGGCCACGCCCGACGATCTCCAGGCCAACGCAGAGTACATCCGCATGGCGGATCAATACGTCGAGGTACGTTGCCACTTGCAAAGCCTGGGAGCGGCAAAACAAATGGAGGACCGACTAACAGGTACATGCAGGTACCCGGCGGTACCAACAACAACAACTACGCTAACGTCGAGCTCATTGTCGATGTGGCCGAGCGAATGAACGTCCACGCCGTGTGGGCAGGATGGTGCGTATTCTCTACATGAATTGGGGAGGGGCAAATTGGGCTGACATTGTGTTTCTAGGGGACACGCCTCGGAGAACCCCAAACTTCCCGAATCGCTTGCCGCTTCGCCCAAGAAGATCATCTTCATTGGTCCTCCAGGATCTGCCATGCGCTCGCTTGGTGACAAGATCTCCTCCACAATTGTCGCACAACACGCCGGCGTACCATGCATTCCATGGTCAGGAACCGGTGTTGATGAGGTCAAGGTTGACAGCAACGGCATTGTCACAGTCGAGGACGACGTCTACCAAAAGGGTTGCACCAAGTCGTGGGAAGAGGGTCTTGAGAAGGCCAAGATGATTGGCTTCCCCGTCATGGTTAAGGCCTCAGAAGGTGGTGGTGGCAAGGGTATCCGAAAGGTCGAGCGCGAGGAAGACTTTGAGCAGCTTTACAAGGCGGCTGCCTCTGAGATTCCCGGATCGCCCATCTTCATTATGAAGTTGGCGGGCAGCGCACGCCACTTGGAAGTCCAGCTGCTGGCTGACCAGTACGGCAACAACATTTCGCTGTTCGGACGTGACTGTTCGGTACAGCGACGACACCAGAAGATCATTGAGGAGGCACCGGTAACAGTTGCTGGCTCAAAGACCTTCCAGGAGATGGAGAAGGCTGCCGTCTCGCTCGGACGGCTCGTCGGATACGTCTCTGCCGGTACCGTCGAGTACCTCTACTCGCACGCTGACGACAAGTTCTACTTCTTGGAGCTGAACCCTCGTCTTCAAGTCGAGCACCCTACCACCGAAATGGTAACGGGCGTGAACCTCCCAGCCGCCCAGCTCCAGATCGCCATGGGTCTTCCATTGCACCGTATTCGTGATATTCGTCTCCTGTACGGCGCTGATCCCCACTCCAGCTCTGTCATCGACTTTGACTTCTCCACCGAGGGCAGCGCTAAGAGCCAGCGACGACCTACTCCCAAGGGTCACTGCACGGCCTGCCGTATCACTTCTGAAGATCCCGATGAGGGCTTCAAGCCATCTGGTGGTACCATTCACGACCTCAACTTCAGGAGTAGCTCCAACGTCTGGGGTTACTTCTCCGTCAGCTCCGCTGGTGGTATTCACAGCTTCTCCGACTCGCAGTTTGGTCACATTTTCGCTTATGGCGAGAACCGACAAGCATCGCGAAAGCACATGGTTGTTGCGCTCAAGGAGTTGAGCATTCGTGGTGATTTCCGAACAACTGTTGAGTACCTCATCAAGTTGCTCGAGACGCCTGCTTTCGAGGAGAACACCATCACAACTGGCTGGCTCGATGAGCTCATTTCCAAGAAGCTGACTGCTGAGCGACCAGACACCATGATTGCCGTTATTTGCGGTGCTGTCACCAAGGCTCACGTTGCGAGCGAAGCATGCATCAGCGAGTACACTGCCAGTCTGCAAAAGGGTCAGGTGCCGTCCAAGGATGTGCTCAAGACGGTCTTCCCTATCGACTTCATCTACGAGGGTAACCGATACAAGTTTACCGCTACCAAATCGACCATTGACAGCTTCACTCTGTTCATCAACGGAACAAAGTGCTCGGTCGGTATCAGGGCACTTGCTGATGGCGGTCTCTTGATCTTGCTCAGCGGAAAGTCGCACAACGTCTACTGGAAGGAGGAAGTCGGCGCCACCCGTCTCTCGGTTGACGGCAAGACTTGTCTCCTCGAGCAAGAGAACGACCCTACTCAACTGCGAACCCCATCGCCCGGTAAGCTCGTCAGGTTCCTCGTTGAGAACGGCGAGCACGTTGACAAGGGTCAACCTTTTGCTGAGGTTGAGGTCATGAAGATGTACATGCCTTTGATCGCACAGGAGGCCGGTATGGTCAACCTGATTAAGCAACCAGGAGCCACTCTCGAGGCTGGTGACATTCTCGCTGTCCTTGCTCTCGATGACCCATCCAGGGTCAAGACTGCCCAGAACTTCACAGGCCAGCTTCCCGACCTTGGTGCACCTCAAGTGCCCGGAGCTAAGCCACCGCAGCGATTCAACTACCTGTACTATATCCTTGAGAACATCTTCCAGGGTTTCGACAACCAGGTGATCATGCAGAGCACCCTCAAGGAGCTTGTAGATGTCCTCAGGGATCCTGAGCTGCCGTATGGAGAGTGGAGCGCTCAGGCGTCTGCCCTTCACGCTCGTATGCCACAGAAGCTCGATGCTACCTTCTCTCAGATCGTCGACAAGGCCCACAGCCGTAACCTTGAGTTCCCTAGTAAGGCGCTCAACAAGGCGTTCCAGAAGTTCGTAGAGGAGAACGTAGCAAAGGGCGACGTTGCGCTGCTCAAGGCTTCTTTGGCGCCTCTAGCTGATGTCATTGACCGCTACTCTGAGGGTCTCAAGGCACATGAGTACAGTGTTATGATCAAGCTTTTGGAGATGTACTGGGCTACTGAGTCGCTCTTCTCGTCTCGCACATCGCGTGACGAGGAAGTTATCCTCAAGCTCCGTGACGAGAACCGTGACAACATCACCAGCGTTGTCCAGACTGTCCTGTCTCACACCAGGGTTGGCGCTAAGAACAACCTCGTCATTGCCATCCTTGACCTCTACCGACCTAACAAGCCCGGTGTCGGCAATGTGTCCAAGTACTTCAAGGACATCCTCAAGAAGCTCACTGAGCTCGAGTCCAGGCAGACTGCCAAGGTCTCCCTCAAGGCTCGTGAGGTCCTCATTCAGTGCGCTATGCCCTCGCTTGAGGAGCGTACAGCACAGATGGAGCACATCCTGCGCTCTTCCGTCGTTGAGTCTCGCTACGGCGAGAGCGGATGGGACCACCGTGAGCCCAACTTTGAGGTCATCAAGGAGGTTGTCGATTCTAGGTACACTGTCTTTGACGTGTTGACCCAGTTCTTCGTCCATTCTGATCCCTGGGTTGCTCTTGCTGCCCTGGAGGTATACACTCGCCGTGCTTACCGTGCGTACCAGCTCCAGAACATCAACTACCACAATGAGGGCGAGCAGCAATGCTTCCTTTCTTGGGACTTCATCCTCCGCAAGGTCGGTGAGGCGGAGTACGGTCTTGCCGTAGAGCCTTCAGAGCCTGGTACACCAAGCACCCCAGGATTTGAGCGCCCGCCTCGCATCCAGTCCCTGAGCGACATGACCGCATGGCAAAACCGCTTCGAGGGTGAGCCCACCAGGAAGGGTGTTGTCGTCCCTGTTGACTTTCTTGATGATGCCGACGAACTCATCAGCAAGGCTTTGGACATTTTCCCCAACCTTGGCAAGGAGAAGAAGACTGGTACTGGCCTAAGGGAGGGCTTGACCATGAAGCGCACTCCTACCACTGGTGTCAACGAGCCCAAGCACAGTGATGAGCTCACCGGTGTCCTCAACGTTGCTGTCCGCGATATTGAGGGCAACGACGACAAGGAGATCCTCGACCGCATCCTGCCTATTGTCGAGGACTTCAAGACGGAGCTTCTGTCGCGCCGTATCCGCCGCATCTCCTTCATCTGCGGTCACAAGGACGGAACTTACCCCGGCTACTACACTTTCCGTGGACCCAACTACGAGGAAGATGCCAGTATCCGTCACGTCGAGCCTGCTCTTGCCTTCCAGCTTGAGCTTGGCAGACTCTCCAAGTTCAACATCAAGCCAGTCTTCACGGAAAACCGCAATATCCACATTTATGAGGCTATTGGCAAGGGTGCCGAGAGTGACAAGCGCTACTTCTTGAGGGCAGTCGTCAGATCTGGCCGTCTCCGAGAGGAGATTCCTACCGCTGAGTACATGATCTCTGAGACGGATAGGTTGATGACTGACATTCTGGATGCTCTGGAGATTGTTGGCACCTCGCAAGCTGACATGAACCACATCTTCATCAACTTCTCTCACGTCTTCCCTCTCAACCCCACCGAGGTCGAAGAGGCCATTGGCGGTTTCTTGGAGCGTTTCGGTCGACGACTCTGGCGCCTCCGTGTCACTGGTGCTGAGATCCGCATCATTGTGACTGACCCTCAGACTGGCATTCCTTACCCACTCCGTGTGATCATCACCAACACCTCTGGATACGTCATCGAGGTGGAGATGTACGCTGAGCGCAAGTCTGAGAAGGCTGGCAAGTG